ATCCAACATGTATATTCATCATTTGTCATTCAACAGTATCCTTAAACTATTCTTAGTCTAAGGCCAATCACTTTAATATTTGTCAACCCTTAAATGAATTCTAGTTTAACTAATTAAACTATATTCCAGTATACAGAGTACTCCTAATAATCCTTAAGCTAGGCCTAGTTTAAGATAAAAGGGTTTTGGAAATCTTAAACCTACCTTCACTTAAGGCCAACCAAAAACCGACAGCGTAGTGTTCACTGTTGGGTGGGTGGTACCCCCAAACGAGTAGGTACTCAAGTTTGGTTCTTGGATCCCGTACGTACGTTTTAATCCTAGCCACCGGGCATCATACCCGCAAGGCCTAACTTATATAGGTATATCTTAGAGTTCTTCTAGATACCTTTCAAATCAACATTAATATGGGTATATCTTAGAGGTCTTCTAGATACCATTGATAATACATATTATTTTCACAAACGTCAATATATTCATTATGATTTAATCATTCATAATTTCCAATTTTAATTAGAACATTTATCAAGATTTAATCATCATAATCATCAATCAATAATCATTACCATAATCATCAATCAACATAATATTCAATAACAATTAGCGGCCTAGTCTCGAGTGTTAACACCCGAACTTACCGTCATGCATCACATAACATATTAGGATTAATTAAAATATTATATTTACTTTAAAAATGATTTCATTTCTGTCTTGGAGTGGAAAAATATTATGATAGTATTTTTTTGGAGTTAATTTCCGAACATGAAGATTTTGGACATGTTAAAATGGCCTGTGGCGGTACCATCCTACCGTTTCACGGTAGTGCATTACCGTTGCACGGCAGTGCATTACCGTCGCACGGTAGTGCATTACCGCTACTGTGTGCTGCATTCGAATCAGGAACAGTACTTCGTCTTCAACCTCGGTTCAAGCTTCGTCAATATCATTTTGAGCTACCAAACTTCAATTAAACTATATAGAAATGTTCTCCAAGGTTCATAGATCATTTTGGTATCATTAATTCATAGTTTTAATATCAAATTCAAGGTTTATGATTCTTAGTTTTTCAAACATGTCAAACACAAAACTCAACCAAATGACCATTTATGAACATAGGAACGATCTATACGAACATTCTAGTCATTAGATATATCAACAGGCTTACTTTGAAGTGAAACGATGATTCCGGCAGAAAAACGGCGAAACTTCCGGCGAGCACCATGGCTTGCTCCGGCGACTTCAACTTCTCCGGACAGCACCATCGCACTCCTCACTTTCTCAAGAATAGAATAGAAGGAATAATGGAGTGAATTGGTAAAGAATTGAGGGAATTGGGTCTCCTTTTATAGGGAAGAAGGTGAAGAAAACTCCATGTATGTGGGTCACTGCAAATCCGTGATCGGCGTAGTGGGAGGAGCGGCGATCCCTACTGATTTTAGACGCAAGTACCTGATTGGGACTAATTTCAGCTCCAGTTGGGTACTCTTTTTGGTCCAACTTTCTCCGAATTGAATTCTGCTTGCACCGTTGCAATCAGACAGTCAAACTCTATTTACTGATATACTTTTTATATTTATTTGTAATACTTTTTCCAACATCATATTTTTGAGTGTTTGACTTTGACAGAGTCAAAATTGATTAAGTTGACTTTTATTCAAAAAGGTTCTCATCTTTAATCCATAATTTATTTCAATAAATCATTTCAAAGTTCACATTATAAAACAATTTCTTCATTTATTCTTAATTTGGGTCTCTACACAGGTTTCCAATCAAGATCACACAAATAGTCAACTAATTGGATTTATCTCTATGAGATTTATCCTGATTGTGATATTGGATATCAAAACACATTTTATTTCGGCCCAAAGCCCAACAACAATTTATTTTAATCAAAACAATTTGATTAATTAATTAATTATTCATTAATAATTCTAGGGTATGTTTTGGGGCGTTACATTTCTTCCCCCCTTAAAGGAATTTCGTCCTCGAAATTCTTCTAAGGCTTCAACATTCAACATCTTGTTGTGATCGCACTTAATCATAATCGCGTCATTTCATTCAGTTAAATCATAATCATGTCATTATCCACACGGATAGTTATTCTCAAACAGTCGAGGTTTACGAAACTCGTTCTTTCTTCAAGAGATTAACAATCTTTGATTAAGCAAGACATTCAGTGATCCTTCAGTGTCAACAACTAAGGTTTCTTTTCCATGTATACGGTTGTATATTTGACATACTCACACATAACTTCGTTTATTCATAATTCCCAATTGTACAACGTTGATTAACGATATTTCTTTTTTTTTTGATTGAAAGTCCTTCAGTAGCCTTTGCAGTTTCAAATTATCAAGTTCGTGATAGATGTAGTGGGAGATTTTTTTTTGGGGTTGTCTTCAATTCACACATCATAACGTAAATTTCACTTTGAGATATCTTTGTATCGTTCACATAGTTCAACAATGATTCACAAATACGTCAAAGGTCATTTAGTGGTCCAAGATTTTCAAGATATAGGATTTGTCATCATTTAGGAGAAAATACTGTCGATCGGTTGTACAGTAGTTCGCCGTTATCGATCTCTTGTCGAAATAATTCTTCGTTCATCTTCGTAGTAGTCCTCATTATCGTTAATGAGTCTATTTACCAATTCCTATTTATACATGATAACGTTTGAGTATCGTCTCGTGTACGCCTTATCGTATTCAAATTTTCTTTCATTAATTTGAAAACATATCTAGATATGATAGTGACAGTTTCAATTGTAGCACTATGGCTAATCTCGTTTCGAGGAAAAAGATAATATCTTTAGTACGTGATTCAATTCATGAGTTCATAGAGTCAGGAATCTTTACCAGTTCTTATACCAACATCACATATAAGTTCGGGATCTTCACTTGAATGATTCAGCCTGTTCTTGTGACGTCATTTCTTCTCTGGTTGTCGCACAAACATTTTCTTGCTAGGATTCTAACAATATCATCGATAATAATCTTCAGAGATAGCGTAATCGTATTGATCGTTTTGTAGTCCACAAAGAGAGGTTTAACATAATGTTTAAGTCAGGGTAGTTTTATCATTGTGATCACGTCGCGTATTCCATAGGGTATAGTTTTCAAAGATCGATATCATGGTATCACCGAGTATTGTTTTGGTTTCAATGAAGAATCATGGTTTTAGTATTTTGATACAAAGAATGGAATTCAATCTTTTCAAGATTGATCAAGCGAGATGTTTTCAAGGGTGTAGTTAACTCAACAAGTTTGAGTATTTCAAGGATATGATTCACAAGATACAAAGATAGCGTTTGCGAATTACCGTTACTAATCGTAGCTTTTCTTCCTTCAATGTTTCACTCTTTAGAAGTTATTCAAGAGGTCGTTGTCTTAGGAACTAGCCGTTTTGACTTTTCATCTCAGATTTGAACGTTTTTCCAGGACAGCGAATCTGACTGTTCAAGGGTCTCAATACGTCATATCGTTAGCAGACTATAATATTAGCGAGTACGTTCTCGCCTGTAGCTTTATTGAATACATTTTACTGTACGTATTTTGGCTAGTGACCATTACCTCTCCATAAACGGTCAGGTTTCTGAGACTATATATATCACGATTATGAAACGAGTATTTCACATTCTCACATTATGGAAGGAACTTCTCGAACACTTCCTTATACCATAAGATTCGTTGGTCTACTTGACAGTCATTCTCTTGGTAGAAATCCAAAGTTTATGGCTACTACGGTAGATTTAGGAAGAGAGTTGATAAGGCGAAAGATTAAACTTGCCTATGGAGGAGGTAGTGTTGGCCTTCAAGGAGCTGTTGCTTCAACAGTCTTTACCAATGGTGGTCTCGTTAGAGGTTTCATTCCTGGTTACATAGCAACACGAGGTGTCTACGGACCTACGTACGGTGTAGAGCATACAGTTTCCAGCAACTAATACAAGTATTTCGAGATGAATCACGCCGTGGAAGCTTTCATCATTCTTCCCGGAGGAGTTGACACTATGGAAGGTTTGTTCACCTTGATTTCGTGGGCTTCTAAAGGATTACACAATAGACCCATTGGTGTTTTGAACATTGATGGTTATTTCAATAACCTAATCAAATTTCTAGACGATGCGGTGAGGCAGAACTTCATGGCTTTGAGTCAGAGAAAACTTTTCATTTCTTCTTTCTTTGTTGGTGAGCTTTTAGACAAACTAGAGTTTGCTAAAGCTTTTCCGGCTTTTGGGACTAATTATGAAGAGTTCGCAAATCCTAAGGGATTAGATTTGGAACTACATTTGTAATATTACTTCATGTAATCCCAGTTGTATTTGTGTTGGAATGATAATGGTTATGAATATTATTCTACGTTGTATGGCCAGTGCGAGCTTCATTCTTCAGTCTTTCATTGTTGGTGTCACTGTTTCACGTCATGTTTTGTATCATCATCACGGTCGCGATCTTTCACGTTGATAGGATATCCGAATGAGTTAACTATCTTATTGATTTGTCTTCTGAGCATCTTCATTTATTCAGTCAGATTACATTGATGTTTCCGATGACAATTAATTTGGTCATTATTCGCTTCATAACAAGGCATCAGTTCAGTCAACAAGGTTGAGCTGTCTGTAGCTTTTAACAAGCATGTTCGTTGTATCTGACCAAATAAGTCGTCAGTTCATAGAAATTCTTAATTGTTAGTTTGTTCAAGTTTCTGAACAAGGATTTGTGAATATCCTGACCGTAAGTCAATCTTAGAGAATACAATGGATTCTCTAAGCTGATCAAATAAGTCATGATACGAGGTAAAGGATAACAAATTGTTCAACTGATAGTAGTTGATATAGAATAGAAGGAATAACGGCGAAACTTCCGGCGAACACCATGGCTTGCTCCGGCGACTTCAACTTCTCCGGACAGCACCATCGCACTCCTCACTTTCTCAAGAATAGAATAGAAGGAATAATGGAGTGAATTGGTAAAGAATTGAGGGAATTGGGTCTCCTTTTATAGGGAAGAAGGTGAAGAAAACTCCATGTATGTGGGTCACTGCAAATCCGTGATCGGCGTAGTGGGAGGAGCGGCGATCCCTACTGATTTTAGACGCAAGTACCTGATTGGGACTAATTTCAGCTCCAGTTGGGTACTCTTTTTGGTCCAACTTTCTCCGAATTGAATTCCGCTTGCACCGTTGCGATCAGACAGTCAAACTCTATTTACTGATATACTTTTTATATTTATTTGTAATACTTTTTCCAACATCATATTTTTGAGTGTTTGACTTTGACAGAGTCAAAATTGATTAAGTTGACTTTTATTCAAAAAGGTTCTCATCTTTAATCCATAATTTATTTCAATAAATCATTTCAAAGTTCACATTATAAAACAATTTCTTCATTTATTCTTAATTTGGGTCTCTACACAGGTTTCCAATCAAGATCACACAAATAGTCAACTAATTGGATTTATCTCTATGAGATTTATCCTGATTGTGATATTGGATATCAAAACACATTTTATTTCGGCCCAAAGCCCAACAACAATTTATTTTAATCAAAACAATTTGATTAATTAATTAATTATTCATTAATAATTCTAGGGTATGTTTTGGGGCGTTACAGGAGAAACTTCAACATGAATAGGCACTAAAAAAATTAAACAGACTATAGTGTTTTGTTTTTTAATATTTAGAATCACAACAGACTATAGTGTGTTTTATTTTTTCAATACTTTGAATCTGTAGAAACTTCAAGAGACTAAAAACTAAACTCCACACCATAAAATATGTTCAAAAACAACACACTATAAATCTGAAAAACAACACACTATAAAATATGTCACGCCATAGCTCCGCCAAATGTCGCCTTCCTGCAGATCCGGCTCTGCTTTATATATATATATATATATATATATATATATATATATATATATATATATATATATATATATGAAGGAGGAGCGGCGACCGGCGTTTATTCAGTTTCTATGGCGATCTCCGGTACTCCTCCCATCAAGACCGGCGGCCATCCAATTCCTTCATCGGCAAACCCAATTTTCAGTCAAACTACAGTAATCGCTCAACATATACCAGGAGCTATGCCCGATGCGATGGATTCCAAAGGAAATGAACCCTTCGGCGCTTTTCGAAGTTCCCCTTTCATCAAAGAACGCGAAGATGGCCCCTTAATCACCCCCTCTCTAAGGAAAAGCACGACCGGTATGTCTACAGTGGCTCGAGATTAAGCTTCATTGAATCTGCAGAATGTTCAACAACATCCACCCGAAACATTAGTTTCAAATTCCAGACTTTTAATAAGGTATTTGAGCTCTTTTATTCCTTCTACAATCACAACTTCTGCATTTCTGATTTAGGAGCTAGAAGATATCACATTTGGTTTGATTTGGACACGGTTAATTGGATCCTGGGTTCCCTTCCTCTTTTCTCAAAGCTTAATTGTAGGGCAGTGTCCAAGGTTGAGGACAATAGAACCATAAACCTTTTCCTTGGGTCAAATAAATGGGGATATTTTGTGAAAATCCAAGAGATTAGAAGAGAAGGCAGTACATTCCTTATTATCCCTTTTGACTCTACCTCTGATGGCCCAAAACTTTTCACAAAGGCCCTCACCATTTTCACCAAGAGAGCTTTCAATCTTGAGGTAAGGTCTAAGGAGCCTCAGGATTCACAGCTTCACTCTCCCATTGGTAATGTTGTTTCACCCATACCTGCAAATACAGGGCAGACTATAAATATACAACAAAGTGGAGATGTCACAAGTTCAGAGGTCTTAGTTGGTAAACCCACAGCCGAAGTGTTCCCACCCCTTCCTCGGATAATTCTTAGCCCTTATGCTCCTGCCTTTGTGCCTGCTTTATGCTCTTATGCTGCACTTTTCACTCAGAAACAAGGAACCGAAGCTGAAACAGAACCGAAAGAAGACCCCTTTTCAAATCTCAATGGTCAAAATTTGTTACTATCCCTCAATGCAGTGGAAGATCACCCTAAGGAAAAGGAAGGACCCATTCTTTATACCCACTCCGATGGGGAGGATTTTGTATTCATTGATACAAAGCTCAAACCTTTGCAAATTGACTTTTCTAGATGCTCAAAACACCCTCTCCAACTTCGTAAGGAACTAAAGGGCAGGAAGACGTACTCACCATCACAAATTGTTACGAGGAGTAAGGCTAAAATCCTTGAGCAAGGAAGGAAATTTAATCCTATCGGCTGGATAGAAGAAGAAGACTTGTTAGATCCCCAGGAATCACATGAAGACGAGGTTATCAAATTCTTCAAACTTTGCTGTCCTCACAAGATCGAAGATTCTAAACCGATTAGCAAACCTCTAACCAAAACTCAAAAAAAGAAATTGAAGAAGAAAAAGAAGCAGTCTCAACTTTCTGACTACGGATTTGAGGAAGATATTGAATATGCTTATTGATCTGCAGTTTAAGGGTCTGTACTATGCCATTTTGCTTTCTTAGTGTAGAACTAGCAGGCCATCCTTAAAAGAGTCATGGGTTAACAATGTGTCTTGGCACCAAGGAAACCTACTATCATTTGATTCTTGGAAAGAAGCTCCAATTGGAGTAGATTCTGTTATATAGTGTGTTCGCAGCTTTGGCTCTAATTCACACATGTTTAAGATCAATGGAACAGCTAACATAAATGCTCTAAGAGCTGCTGCTGAAGGAGTTAAAAGATTTGTATACATTTCGGCTGCTGATTTTTGCTTTGTGATTTACCTATTACAAGGTTATATATTATGAGTAAAAGAGTGCTGCTGTAACTGAATTTTTGACCCGATATACCTATGGAGAATTGATTTTGAGACCTGGACTCATCTATGGAACTCGTCGTGTCGGGAGCATGAAATTGCCCCTTGGTGTAGCTGGATCTCCTATTGAGCCTCCCTGGTGTGCTAGCACAGCTGTGTTAGGAAGCTCCCTCTGATTGGACGGAAGTACAAGGTACTGTTAATAAGCTGGGACATTGCACATGATGCTGGAAGTTGTTTTGAGGATAAGGGACCTCCGCCGGATTTTGGTAAAAGACTAAGCTGCTGTTTGCTCTAGTTTAGATTCATGCTTTTGGATTTACACCTTTTGACTTTTTGTGAATGTTTTCTTTCCCTTTGATTTCGGCTTTTGTGTTGGAGCTGGCCACTCCTTTGCATCTGTACTCTTTTCCTTTTTTAATAATATTTTCACTTTAAA